TGCGTATACGACAGGTTATACTGTAAAATACTATAAGTATATCTATGTGAAAAATGTTCGTAAGGTCATCAGGTGATCGACAAAACGCGTATGAAATGTAAAATTTCTAATTGTTTGTCATATTTAAAAGAAAATTGTTAAAATAAAATAAATTTCTACTTTAATTATTCACATCTGCTTAGATTATTTATTTAGAGTATTTGTAATACAATATGTGGTTGTTCAAGAGGTGGTGATGTGCTAATTGCAATAAACAATAAATACGTAGGTGCTATTCTCGTATGTTACCCTTACCTCCCTGTTCCGTAGAACATTTATTTGTTATTGTCAAAATTAATTTCGTTTACTATATTTTAGGTAATGCTTATCTTCCTTCTCGCCTACCTATAACATTATACAGTAAAAAGTTCAATAACATTAATGATCTATTCATTTCCTATCCCTATGTTTAAAATATAATTTTATTAGGTGATTATAATACGCCAAACTTAAAATGGCAATCCACTTATCCTTCCTGTTCACCTAACTATTTAAATTTAAATCAATTATCAGTAGACTTTCTATCTAAAATTTCAGTTTTAAGTTTATCTCAATTCAATACTGTTTTAAATAAAAATAATACCATTCTTGATCTAGTTCTTTCTAATATTGATAATATTACAGTTTCTAAATTTACGACTCCTCTTGTTTCTTGTGATGTTCACCATCCATCTTTACTTATAATTATTCCTATTAATACTTATAAGCCTATTGATTATAATTAATTTACTTATGATTTTTACTCGTGTAATTACTCTGATATCATTAAATGCTTAGGCTCAATAAGTTAGGTTGAAATATTTTCAAATCTTAATGTAAATTAAGTTACAAATTTATTTTATTCTATTATTTATAAAATTATTGATATATTTATTCCAAAAAAAAATAATACCTCGTCAAAAATATCCTATATGGTTTGGTTTTGAACTAAAAAATTTAATATTTAAAAATAAAATAGCTCATAAAATCTTTAAAAACTAGTGCCATTAACGATTATAATAAATTCTCAAATTTACGTGTCCAGTGTAAAGCTCTCTCTAAATTAAATTACCAAAATTATTTAAAAAATAACTAGGAAGATTTTAAACATCAACCATCCAAATTTTGGAAATTTATTAATGAAAAACGCAAAAAAAACATTTTTACCTGACTGTATGTATTTAAATAATTCTAAATTTAACTCTCCAAATTCTATTGTTGAAGCCTTTGCTCAACATTTTGCTATTGTTTTTGAACATTATGATAACTCAAAATATATTGATCTAAGTTCAGTTTCTCCGAATAACTTATTGCTAGCTCCTTTATTTTCATGTAAAATCACCTTAATCGAAGTTTTTAATGCTTTAAATAACTTTAGTTCAAAGTGTGGTCCTGGACTTGATTTAATTACAAGACAGTCTTATCAATAATGTAAATTTGTTCTCTCTTCTCCTCTACTTTATACTTTTAATTTATCTTTATCTAGTGGTATTTTTCCTGATAGATGGAAAACAAGTATTATCCTTCCTATTCCTAAGACATCATATGACTTATCGAATATTTATAATTACAGGCCTATCTCTTTACTTTCAACTGCATCTAAAACATTCGAATCTATTGTGTCGGATATGATAACTCCTGAACTTGACAGAATTATTGTTGACGATCAACATGGTTTTAGATCGTCTAAAACAACTACTACTAATTTACTTACCCTTCAACATTCCATAATTTATGCTTTTTCAGCTGGTTTACGTATGGACGTTATTTATACTGATTTTGCTAAATCTTTCGATAAAGTTAATCACACTATTCTTTTACATAAATTAAATTAATATTGGCGTATGTGGTCTCTTCTTCAATGGATTAAGTCTTACATTTCACAGCGTACTCAAATTGTTGTTTATAAAAAATTTCAGTCAAAACCAATATTAGTTACTTCGGGTGTTCCTCAAGATTTTCATCTAGCCCCAATTCTATTTCTAATATATATTAATGATATTACCTTTAAAACTACAGTGTAATAAAAAATATAATATATGTATATCTAAAATAATTCTCACTAGAAAACTTTTGTCTTTTATGCAATATTTAAATTATTTTCATACATATAAATAACTATTCCCAATAAGTATTACAGGAATTGAATGTAAATAGTTAATACAATTATTGTGGAATCAACGTTTGGTATATATTTTATATTATTTGTAATAAATTAGATGATTATTGAAGATTCCATTTTACATAATATTTTATATGTAGCTGTAAATATATTATTGTTAAGAATAATAACTATAATTCATAATCAAGTGCTGGTTTTATCACTAACCAAGGGAGGGGCTAATGGAGATTTAAGAATTTAGTTAGTTGGTTTTTTAAATCTATATAAAATTTTAAATTACAGAATATGTTTTTGAGTCCCTCATAAGTAAGTAATTTTTTTCACAATAATGACAAAGTTTAAATAGTTATATTAATGGTATCAATTTTAATCTGAAACCATTTTAAAATATAGGTAAATACATATAATTAATAACAAAAGTGAGCTATTTATTTATAAAAAATATATATGAAATAGGTACCATATTCATCAATGACCATTAACAGTATTTTATTATAATTGATTTAATATTTTTAAAGAAAGTATCAGCAATCAGTTAATTATATATTGAAAAATAAAAGATTATTTATATATATATAAATAATATATTTAAATTTATATAATGCGCATCTATGAACTAACACAATGTCACTTGATTTGTGATCTATATCATGCTGGTTTAAAAGAGATTGTTGTAGTCTATGTCTTTAATTTGTTTTATGTTTTTTGGAAGTTAAGGATATTATTTTATTATTCCTTATTGCTGTTATGACCGAACTTATTTTTATTAAGCTTTATTGAAATATAAATTTTATTAAATAATGTTAGACACCCCGAAATTTTTTTCTAGTTACGACCTTGGGCGTACATATGGAGAGGGGTTTCGGGATAAATTCCCCCTCAAGAACACAAAAAAAGTATTATGATTTATGATAAAAATGACTGTTTAGATGAAATCTTCTGATAAAAATTTACAATAATATGTCATTTAAATTCCCCTTTCATAAGAAAATTGAATGTACATCATTGAATACATACATAAATTAATTACCTTACACCTTATTGCATTTGCAATAACTGAAGTTACATTAGACACATGCCAAATATTAACATACATATTTATATTGTCAAATATGATTTAGAGATTATATTAAGAAGACACTCGCATCGCGAAGCCAACCAGTGAATGTATGGGTTGGGCACTGCAAATGTAGATACTTTCGAAGGTGATCTTAAATATTAAGGTTATTAGAAACCGTGTCCAGGTCAACTATTCCATAGGAACGGTGTATAAAAGGTAGTCCCGTACAGAACAATATTCAGATGTGTTTTAGTCCGATCTTAGTAAACACTCACGCCAGTATAATTGTCAATTTAAATAAATACTTATAATTAGAATATTTCAATAAATACAGTTTAACTTAGTTTGAGTATCTCTATTGAAATTATCATAATAAACATCCATATATGAACTGTAGAATTGACTGCAAGCAATGAATTAAAATTAACCAAATTCATTCCAATTTTAATGACTTACTGAAAGACCAGAGAAACTAACCACACAGTAAAGCAAGTTAGGTTTCATTTTACAATATGTATATGGTAATACTAATAACGAGGAAAACATTTTTAGCTGAAGAACAACATTAAGATTTTAATGACTAGTAAATATTATGAATTTTAATAAAGAAATTGCAGCAGAAACTTAAGTTAAATTAGGCCTACCTTGTCAAACTACTTCTGAAATACTAAAGAAATATTACTTAAAATTAAAAAAAAAACATGTATATAATAGTCAACTTGATTTGACAATAACTATTTGTACATATTACAAGGTAAAAAAAAAAATAATAAAATTAGTTTACAATATATAATAACAATAAGATTGTAATATTTTATAATATATTAGGATATGGCCGGATTTGTCGTTGAACATAACCATCATTACAGTAATCAGTTCTCCTCAAAAACATCAATAAGTCCGTTTTCATTCAGTTGCTGTACGCATTCTCTTATCATTATAGATGTATTTTCCCTCTCTTTTTTGCATATTTAATTTCTAACCTAGTAAAGTACATACAATTTAAAGAAATTAACCATAATTGAAAGATAAATAACTAATTATATGTATAAAAAAAAAATCAAATTATTACTTTAAAGCCATCTTTGCACTGTTGAAATTCTATAAAGATCTGATTCTCAACAACAATCAACAATCAGCTTTTCTGTTGAAAAAAATTAAAATATTAGTATATTTTAGGGTTAACAATTAAAAAAACATTTTATTATCATGCAAGTATGACTAACATACAATTAATTAAGCATACCTATTAGACATACAATTAAGATTTATAACAATACATTCATAAACAATGAGTAATAGTATTTGAAGTAATAATTATCAAAACTACTCAACACCAGATTAAGCATGTCAAGGCAATAGCGCAGTTAAAGCAAATAAAGAAAATATTGGATAATAAAAATAAATTATATGTAATATTATATCCAAAATAAAATATCTATTACTTAATCTAAGTCTACTAACATATTAGTTTATCTGGCAGGTATTATAATAAAATGTTATTTACCTTTGTATAATGAAACCAACAACATATTAATTGACTATTTGGAAATAATTCCCTGATAGCATTCATAAAAGCTCGTTCATAATCAGTGACAAAACTAATTCTATTATAACGAAGAGGTAAAATATTGCGTATTACTGTTAATAATGAAGAGCAAGTTTCTTGTGTTTCACTCCTCAAAAGGGCATAGACCAGTGGTTCTCAACGGGGGCAATATCGCCCCCCAGTGGGCGGTGAAGTGTCACAGAGGGGCAATGAACTAGTTTTGGGCGGTAGGGGGGCTGTGAACTAATTTTGGGTGGTAGAGGGACGGTAAACGGTTCACGCAAAAACGTTGTAGATGGTGTCGGTGTGACCTAAAAATAATTCATACTTGATAATCCATACAATAACTATCAGTCACTACTAAATCTACGCATTGCACTATAACTTATCTTTGATTGTTGACAAATTTATTATCTTAATTATTTTAGCGATTGTGCGTTGACATTATACTTTATTATAGGTACCTATATTAACCAACCTTTTAGTACACCGTTTGATTTGACCCGCGTATGTTGTATATTAGTTTTCGTTATATTCAGTCGGTTGGTAAAGTGTTTTTTTTTAAATTGTTTTCAATTTCATAAAATTGTATTTACAAAAATGTCTGATGCAAAAAGAAAATGCCGTCAATATAATACGACGTATTTAAAGTTTGGATTTATTCCATCGCCATCCAACATACAGCTCCCTATGTGTTTAATTTGTAACAAAGTGTTCTCCAATGAGGCAATGAAACCATCTCGTTTACAGGAACATTTGCAAAAAGTTCATCCTGACAAACAAAATAAAGATTTGTCGTTTTTCACAAATATTAGGGACAAGTTTCTGAAGGCACCATCGGTCTCAGGCTTATGCGCAGGCTCATCAAAACAATGCGATGATGGTTTGATTGCTTCTTATAATATATCGAAATTGATCGCAAAATCGGGAAAAGCCCATACCATAGGCGAAGAGTTAATACTTCCAGCTGTCAAAGAAATTTTAGAAACGGTTTTACACCATTCAGCCTCACACAGTGTAATACAAAATGTCCCATTAAGCAACGATACTGTGCGACGGCGAATCGACGAAATGGCGGAAGACGTTGAAATTTCATTATGTGAACTTCTAGTATCCACCGAATTTTCACTTCAAATCGACGAATCAACATTACCGAATAATGAGGCATTACTATTGGCATACGTCCGGTTTGTAAACAAAGGAAAAATCGTTCAAGAAATGCTTTTTGCAAGGACCTTGATTACTGACACTAAAGGTGAATCTATTTTCAATATAGTCAAAGACTTTTTTAAAGAAAAAAATATTCCTCTTAAAAACGTTATACCTATTGCCACTGATGGAGCACCTGCAATGGTAGGACGTCATCGTGGGTTCATAGCTTTTTTTAAAAATGAAATACCCGGTATTTTAGCTATTCACTGCGTCATTCACAGACAACATTTAGTTGCAAAAAACCTCAGTGATCGTTTGCATCAGTCATTACAATATGTTATATCTGCTGTGAATAAAATTCGTAGTAATTCGTTGAACAATCGACTATTTACAAAGCTATGCAAGGAAAACGACGAAGAATTCAATCGCTTGTTTTTACACACCGAAGTTCGCTGGCTCTCCAAAGGTGCCTGCCTCAATAGGGTTTGGAATCTTTTTGATTCTGTGCTTGAGTTTCTTGAAGAGAAAGATGTAAAGCTTAAAGACAGGTTGTTACTATTTAAAAGCGATGTTGCTTATATGACCGATTTATTTGCAAAGTTTAATGCCATTAATTTGCAACTGCAAGGTGACGAGCTCAATTTAATAACGTCAAAATCGGTTATTTCTGCATTCCAAAAAAAATTGACTTTGTGGAAGACCAATTTTGGTCGCCAAGAGTTCAGCCAGTTCCCAGTCTACGCCATAGACCATTGGAAATGCCTAAATGAAAAATAAAACGTATTAAATCATATCTTAACTGTATATTAACAGTATTATAACCAGAAGGTATTGCTTACAACATCTTTGTAGAGTACTTGAAATGTTAGGAAAGATCGTAAGTCCTCTGGCACTTGAGGAACAGTTTTATATGTGGCATCTACTCCAACCAGCTCTACTGAAGCTAACTCTTCGCGATATCTATAGATCGCATCAATGTTGGCAAAAACAACTGCTACACAAATATCATTCACAATTAGTTCTTGTTAAAAAAATGTTGAGGGTATAATTTGAAATGTGGATGGTTTGCGGTGTTTTTAGTCTCCACAACCTTTTCATCTTTTTCAACCTTTCTGAGAACTGGATGCACGTATACTTTGTGGCTGCTTCTTAGTGTCTACCAAAATTACAGTTCAATTACAAATTACAATTTAAAGAACACTATTAGTCAATTGTTAACAAATAAATATATTAATAATAAAATAATGATTTTAATAGTATTATAAAACATAACAAAAATTAAATTAATCGAATCATAGAAAATTGTCCTAAATTTTGATTTTGTATAAAAACATGCTACAAGAAAAGATCATTAAATTTTAATATCTTTAAATCCTAACATATCTAGTAAAATAGAAGCGTATTAAAATAATTAGTTTCATTTGAGTTATAATTTTATAACTCTGACATTGCATACACATAACAATGATTATACAATAAAAGTAAACTTACCTAATTATTTCACTGTTATAAATGCTTAGAACTGACGATGTTGTAATTGTATGATCAAGACCTCTTTCACTGATTACATCCTTCAAGAATGGTACATATAAGTCAAAACTAAGTAATTATTATTATTAGATTATTATTAAATATAATCGCTGAAAATTTTTTCATGAAATAATCGCAGGTGATAGTCTTAAACAATAACCAATATGATAATGATTTATAATTTTAAAATGTAATCAGTAAACCGTTAAATACATAAAATACATAAACACAGTATAGCCTAATTCTTTGGCGTTAAATTCCTGGCAGTAAAAATTTTGATTCCGAACAGTTGGTGTTTCATGATAAAATGTTTTCTTATCATTTTTATCTCTTATCAATGAGGAGAACTGACCCAAGCCCATTTTAGTCATCATAATATTATAGACATAAGAGAATACTACACGTTGCGTGTATGATAAAATTATTAAAAATTAGTCCAGCAGTCCACATTTACAAATATTTTCAATCATATTTATTTGAGGTTATTCTATTTTTATTTATTAACTTTATCCACGATGTTTCGTTATCACAGTCTAATTTTGTAACGACATATCGATATTACATATATGTATAATATCTGAGACAGTGACTAGTGAGTGTGAGAGTGAGACCTCAGTCCTCGAAGCATTGCCGGCTGCCGTACTTAATGTACAGCGAGTGCTACTACTCTATCCCCGTACCTATAATATACCCACTATCCAGTATTAGCATTTTATGATTTTCTGTTTTGTTTATTTATTTAAAGATTCCAACACAATAATACATTAATACATATTATATATTGTCTACTATTTGATACCTATCTATTCACTAAGTAAGTATTAATGTTAAAATAAAAAAAACTAATATCGATTCTTATGTTTTCATTATTGTATTAATTACAATTTATTGATATACCAGAAATAGATAGGTTTGTCGTAAAAACCAAAAAAAGAAGTCTCGAAGATTTTGAAAGCGAAGACAATCCTTCAATTGTGTGTAATGTGTCTAAATTCAAATATTTATTTGATGAATTTTATAAATTAATATCGCTAGATAGTTCAAAATTAACAGCTTCATGTCAAAATTGCCCAAAAGTCATAATTGTTTCTACATCATCAAGTGGAAATTTGTTAAGCCATATTAAAGTTAGTATTTTATTATTAATTATTATACTATGTAATACATATTCTTAATTATTATTTAATTCTACATTCATATAAAATTAAATATGTGTTGATATTAATTATTAATCTAGGGGTACATTATTTTAATTAGTTTTTTTCTTTACTCGTCTACTAATACAATTTTACTTGAGAAATTAAATAGGGCAGGTATAAAAAGAGTAGCAAATAACTTATTAAAATAATTTTTAAGTAGACCTTACCCGAAGAGTATAAATTGATAATACTTTTGGCAAAGCTTTAGAAATACCTTGTGAAATTCCTCAAGGCACAGTGTTATGTCCCCTATATTATTTATAATTTTTAATAATTATCTTTTACAAATAAAAACAATAAAATTGTTAACATACAACGATACCGATCCTATAATGATCGGTGGTTGTCGGCAACGACTTGCGTGTTATGATGTAGACAAGAGCGAAGTGGGTTACTCAAGTAGATAAATAATAAATAGTATATCACAATAAATTAATTAATAATAATTTTAATTATGACTTAATATAGGGCGCTCTGGGAATACTATGGTTTTATGTAAATACAAAATAATTAATATGCTACACAATATATAAATTAGCGCACAAGAACATTGGAGTACACATATTACAGTAAAAGAAAAAAGACGACTTGGTTTGTGATATCCTCTTCGTCGATACATGTAGTGTGGACACGCAGTTGTCAAATGACACGATGGTCCAGCCACATAACACCGGCAATCGGGAACGGTATGGTCCACCAGGAAATGAGCAGTGTTGTAAAGTATTTGAGTAAAAGTATTTGAGTAAAAGTATTCAAATACTTTTTTTCGTATTGAATACTTTTTAAAATACTTTTATTTTTTAAGTATTTGAACGATATTTTAAATACATTTTTTTACTATTGAATACTATTTTATTGAATACTTTTTTTTTATTCCTTTAATTCTTTATTCATTGTCAAATAATAATAATATTATATATATTTATCATTTATGAACAATTCGATATCGGTTTTAGTTTTCGTCTATTAATAGCTTTACGGTACGTTGTCGGTATCTAACAATATATATTATAGCGATTAGCGAACATTAGGTATGTCGTACCTGTACGGCGTGTGTACGTGTGTACGGAGACAACATATATTATGCGGTTACGACGAACTCTTAATTAAAATCTATATATTAATCTAATATAATGTAACATATACCCATTAATATTGACTGATTACTGATTCTGCTGTACAAAAATATTATTACTTATTAGTACTATACCTAATTACTAAGAAAATGGTTGTCAATATTTATCGTTTATCGTCGACTGTACGAAATATCTGAATATAGCTATTGCCTATTAATATAGCACCATAATGATATGTGAAACATGGTATTACTCATTTTATTTTCATAGTTTTATAAGAAAATAATATTATTTTTGTGTGTACGAACTACGAATAACAAATTTCCAATTGGTCATTAGCGCACAATCAGTTATACACTTTTACAATATTGCATATGGATTATTGAGCCCGACGCTGTTTTACACTATTGTAATATTTATTAGTTTATTACTTGGGTTCGTCTTATTCGTATCGTGTTCGCTGTTGTCTGCTTGACGTTCCTACAGATTTTATTAAATTGTAATACAATGAGTGATTGTGATTCTCCAACCGAAGTAGATCAGGTTGATCAGGTCGCAGATTCAGAAGAATCAGTTTTACCTTGGCCAAATTATCAACAATATTTTAAAGTATTAAGAGTCATTGAGGATAATTTTTTTAATAAGAAGCTGGAAGTGAAGTGCTTAAGTTGTGTCGGTACGAAGTGTTACAAGGTGGATTCACGTTCAAACTCTAATATAAGAAAACATTTAAGCGTAAGTACAATGTTAATTTCATATCTTCCAATGGCAGTTGACCCATCTAATGCCTTGTATGTGTTAAATTAATAATATGTAGTTTACTGGGTCTCTACACGAGTTATATATTATACTTTTTCATTTTATTCAGACACAACATCCAAAGAAAATTGATCACATTGATAATACAGTGAACAAAAACACTACAAAGAGATGCAATGATGGATCATTGAAGCATAACGCTGGTAGTTCTTTAAAACAATCAGATAAAAATAACCAGATGAAACAACCAGTTTTTGAAGATTTTTTGAACAACAAAAAATTAACTAGTCAAAGTAAGAATGTGTATTGTTTATTTTTATTTTTGTCTTGTTAAATAGTTTTTAGTTACAGTATTAACAAAAGTAGTTGATATCTATATAACTACATGATTTACAATGATCATAATATATATTGATATATTTAAATATTTTAGAATAATTATAATATAATTAAAATTCATACCAATTGGCAATGAGCTACCCACTGGCCACTTTCAACTGTGATTTGTTATATTGTATCTTCAACAAATTTTTCATTTTTATATATACCTATGTATTATAATTTATACATTTAAACAAAAATTCAACAAACATAAACACTAAAACACAAATACATTTTAGTATTTAATGAAAAAATAGTAATTTAAATACTATATATAGATATAGTTGTCAATAGTCAATTAGTTATGTAACTAATGATTTTGATTGCAGGTACTTTAGATCAACTATTGCAAAAATTTATTGTAAGTGCTAATGTACCCTTCAGAATAATAGAAAATCCTATTTTGAAGGAAATAATTGGCAGAGGTTTCCCAAACAAAAAAATTATGACACGACCTACACTAATGAAAACTATTGAAAATGATTTTCAAGAATTATCATTAAAAATGAGATTTGAGGTGTCCAAATGTGCTCATATTGCTTCGACTGCTGACGGCTGGTCGATTTTTAAAAAGTAAATTTTTATTATTTAGTATAATAATCATAACAGTCATGTTCATTGTACATAGCTAGATACCAATTATTTAATATTATATTTTATTAGATCATACATTGGGATAACGGTCACGTGGATTAATGAAGATTTATCAAGAAGTACTCGTCTTTTAGCATTAAGACGACTAGAAGGTTCACACACATATGATATTTTAGCCAAAGCTATGGATGCAGTTTACACCGAGTTCGAAATTTCAGATAAATTATCATACTGTACTACGGACAATGGCTCAAATTTTGTAAAATGTTTCAAGTAAGTTATTCATTATGAATTTGTATTGATTGCTCATTAAATTAGTTTGTAATAAAATCCATTTAGTTAACCATCTAATTATCCTATTTTAAACTCTAATTTTTGATTATCTTTTAGAACATTTGGTCATATATTTGGTGATGAAAATACTGATACATTGCTAGTGAACGATGCGGTTGATGATGATGTAGAAGAAATCGATGCAATCGACTTGAACATTCTAAATGATGAAGACCATGATTTGCAATATGCATTACCTAAACACCATCGATGTTGTGCACACACAATAAATTTAATAGCAACAACAGTAATTAAACATTTATTTAAGTAGATAACCTAATATAATTAAAGTATAAAATATAAAATTTGGTGCCCTTATTTAATTTTGCTTAAGAATTCAAAAAAAGCTTTGTCTAATCCTGCATACAAAAAACAGTCAAGAAGCACTTTTGCCAAGTCTACCGCTTTATGGAACAAACAAGGTCGCTCAACTAAGTCAGCTGATTTAATTAAACAAAATCTTGGCGTTTATTTAATTACACCAAACGAAACACGTTGGAATTCATTGTATGACGCAGTGGTGTTGCTTAATAAATTAATTAGAAATAATGAACCTAAGTTTAGAATAATAATGGACGAATTGGTTATTGGCAGGTAAATTATAAATTATAAATATATATTAATTATTTTATTTATATTTTTTATAAATAATATTTTCAGATTTAATAAAAGTGACATTGATTTCATGTGTCAATATCAAAAAATTATGGGGCCAATTTCAATAAGCTTGGATTTACTCCAGGGTGATACTAACATGTATTTTGGTCATCTCCTACCTACAATTGAAGAATTAATCTATAAATATGAATTAATGATAAGTGATCAAACAATTTCAAATTATATGAAACCTCTGGTGATTGCCATACTTAATGGTATGTAATATTTAATATTTTTTAAATACATTAATCTTATTTATCCAAGTACTTTAATGTTATACATTTAATTTCTTTTCATTTTAGCTGTTTTTGGTTTTCTTTATTGGTAAATACTAAATATTCAATATCTCTTAGTTCTTACAGTCTTACTGATGTATAATGTAAAATGTTAATTAGCTGATCTATTCTTTATATTTATTTTTCTGTGTAGTAACTTCATTGAAAATAATTTTTGTTTTTAGGTATAAAAACAAGATTTGCCGATTATTTGATAGACAAATTTTTAATCACTGCTGCGGTCTGCCACCCACTATTTAAAACAGCGTGGATTAAAAATGACATAAAAAAACAATTGGCTTCAGAATATTTAAAAAGTGCCTGTTATGAGTTACATACCAATGAAAATGACAATAATGATGCAGAAGAAAACCAAGTAAATGATGATTTATCTAGCTTTTTTACCTGGTCGCAAAATTCCCGAGAGGAAAAATCAACGGTTAATGATGAAATTGATAGATTTTTGGGTACATCTACAACAAAAACATTGGAATGTTTGCATAATTTACCCACTATCAAAAGAGTAAGATTAGTTGTAAACTTCTTATACTATTAGTAATAATATTTCAAAAATATTTGTACCTTGTTTTCAGGTATTTGTGAAGTACAACACTCCGCTACCTATTAGTGCGTCAGTAGAGAGAATATTTAGTGTTGGTGGTGCCACAATAACCAAAAAAAGGACGAATATGACAGATAAACATTTCGAACAAATAATGTTAATAAAATGCAATACTCAAATATTCGATTAATATATTATGATTGATTCAGAATTAAATTGATTTTTTTTTTTTTTTTGTATTTGAAACTTATTTCAAATACTTATAAAAAGTATTTGAGTAATACTCAAATACTTTATTATAGATAGTATTTGAGTGGTATTTTAAATACTTTATTTTATAAGTATTTGAGTAATTACTCAAATACTTTTTAAAAGTATTTTTTACAACACTGGAAATGAGGAATATAAAAAATCGACCACTAATGATCTGGTGTAGCAGCACAAAATGGCACACACTAACGATGGGTGGCCACAGACGTGTATCGGGCCCAATCGTTGGAAAAAGACAAACGGAAAAAAAGCAAACTTTTCACTCGTCTGTCAACGGTCTTAGCTGGCGGCATCGTTTTTACTCGACGGCCTGTCACTGGACACTGGAGGTGGAACTTGGGAGGTGGTTTTATATCCGCTACACTGTGGTGTCCGAAACAAGCACATACATATGTATACATACACACACACACATATATATATATATATACCGGGCAGATTCGTTCCATGTTCGAACAACTTCTGTTTGGTATATAAGTCAGAAGACTTAAGGACATTCTTGACTTGTATTTCGACATACACACTGTGCCAGTCGTGGGTAAGTCCTTAGTCTTCATTACTCTTTTTAAATTTTATGTCAATATAAATATATGTATTTGCTGTAATTGTTGAAATTAATAAAGTTTACTAATACAACTGGACTAACCTAACCAAAAAATGATTAACTAGTAGGTAAATATGTGGTAAAAAAGTGTTACTTTAAATTACTTTATATTATCTGATAAATTCCTCGGTTATGGTTGTAAATGCCTATAACCGTAGCAATATCTGTGGAAGATAATACCACTATTCGTTCCACAACCAAAAATGTTATGATATATGAAGATAAACAAAAATTGATATTCGTGATCAAATTGACATACTATCATGGAATTCCAATTAAATGTAACTAAAAATTATATGGGAATTCCCTATGGAATTTCTTAGCATTTCCCAAAGGAATTCCATAGGTGCGGACATTAGAAATACTAGAGGAATATGTAAGGACTTCCTTTTTTATTCCTTCAAGTTTCATCTGAAATTCCTTGGGAACTTGATATTCGTGATCAAATTGACATACTATCAGTGTTACCGATTATGTAATAATCACCCCATATGGTGGTAATTTTTATAACTTGTAATTCACTATGTGGTATTGTAAAAAAAATGTGGTATTTTTGTGTTATTTTAAAGTCTAAACTTTAATATTTAATTTATTAGATTTAGTAATTTTTAGTTTTTACTATTTTTCATGTAATATTTGAATATTTACATTATGGATAAGTGACTTAAAATAAACGTAGTGAATCCTAGAGTAACCGATGAAAGAGACGATCCAGTACCAATTCTCACTACTAGTACCAGTCACGATGTTATAGTCCAAAATGCTCAACAAGGAACTGAAAAAAAAAATCTTTAAAGACTATAAGAAAGTTTTGTGCTAAATGACTTGATAGGGAAGAATTTGCGAAATGACTGGTACATAAAATAGAAGCTAATTGAAAAAATGTCGGATATTTTAATGTGTGTAATATATCAATGAGTTCACATTTTACTGAGATAAAACGACATGGTTCATCGCCTAAACATATTACGAATTCTAGACAAGTTGATTGACAAAAGAGTGTAAGTGAAGTTTTTAAGATGTCTTCTTTAACAGAGAAAACGAGGAATGCTGAATTTAAAATGATTACTTTCTTTGCTACAAAAAATGTACCTCTATCTTTAACAGACCAACTTATTGCGTTATGGAAATCTGTATTCCATGATTCGAAAATTGTAAAAAATATGTCTATAGCGAGCAGTGGCGTATTTACGAGGGAGGGGGGTCCATGGGGTCCGGATCCCTCCAATTGGCTCCATAAATAAGTCTAATATACATATATAATATATTATTATATTCTGTGCAAATATAAAAATGTAAAATATTATTTTTTTACGTAATCGGGAAAAAAATGTTATCATAAATTGTTATGCATGGTTGACCCATTTTGCCAGTTGGAAATCGATAATAGTGGATTACTCTATGATACAACTTATCAAATATGAAATAATTAAATATTTTTATTTTTGTTATCTATTATCTAACCTAATTATAAAATATATAATTTATTTATTATTTATTTACTAGGTAGTTAGGATTAAATTAAATAGATGAAATATTGAATATCCACTTAAAATTATCGTATTCATAAAATTATAGTGAAAACGCAGCGTTTTCCGTAACCAGTATAGCCCATCCTAATTTAAAACAATGTAAAATTAGGAGATTGCGTTTTTATTACTTCGGCGTTCGTCCGCCAAAACGCAAGCCAACCGGCGTT